AACAGAGGCAGAACTTTTTTTTTGGAATATAGATAATGAGAAAAAAAAAAAAAAAAAAAAAAACCTTATATATAGTGTTTGGGGGGAGCTTTTCAACATCATAAGTCCTTTGACTATTTACAGCTGATATTGGAAGTGTGGCAATGGCGACACCGGCGATGAGGCGGAAGAGGAAAAGTGGTGGCGGTGGATGCGAAACTGATGGTCGTAATTGATGGTGGTAAGGAGAAGGACACTGGGTTGCCGGTGGCCCGGTGGGTAGTTCGTTACAGCCGTCAGCCATTATTGGTGGAAGCCATGGATGTATTGGAGATAAATCTAGAGAGATAAGATTTGTAAAGAGAGAAGAATTATATAAGGAAAGGCATAATACCACCAACCAATTTAATAGGAACGGGAGAAAAAATTTCATGAATAGTCATCGCGGAGGACTTCTTACTATCAGATGAAATCTCGGTTAGAGAGGAAGAATCAGTGGTTCCGCCATGGATCATGGCTAAGAGGTATTGAAGACAAACAAACAGCACTAACACAAAGAAGATAGATGACCGCTGTTACAGGTCTTTAGAATTAGGGTTACAAAAGGAAAAACCAAAACAGCAAAATTCCTTTCTTTTTATTCTGAATCTCTGATTCCAAATTGACAAACTGCTGAAAAGATTATTACTTTCATATATCTTGTTATACATAATAGACCAATTTAAGTAAACTATACAATTAAATTGACAGCTAATACATTAACTTTTAGATAAATAAAAAAAAAACCTAAATATGTATATACGCTAATCATAAGTAGTCCAAAAGATTGATGTGTTTGAATTTTTATGTGAGTGAGTAATGATGTAATCATGACGTCTTTTCATATTGTCATAATTTTAGTAAGATGTGTTCAATCCTCGGACTCTGTATCATTAATCATGCCTAAATTGCAGATACGCTAGAAATATCAAATCATGAGAGTTAAGGGGAATTTAAGTTGTGCAACAATTTTTGTTCTTTTTTTATTCCGGCAATTCTCATAATTTTGCAAGTTAAAAGTTAACAAAAAAAGTGGGACTAAAGTCACTATTAGGTGGAAGATTTGAGGTGAATATGGCATCTAGAGGTAAATTAGTATGCCCATGTAAATTTATGTAAGGCTAAATTTATAAAACTCCCATTGTACCTTCTAAACTAACAAATAACACCCTTAATTAACAAATATTATCATCTAAGGCAATTTCTTTACCTAACTATTAGTTACAGTATGAAATGATGATAGTAGCACATTACCCTTGCCATACGAATATTAATTTAAAAGCTTAAAATTGTAATTTTGAAATGCCTATTTTAACCTTAAAAGACCACACGACGTCGTTTGGATATTTAAAAGAACCAAAATCACCAAATGACATCCTTTGAGTCTTCAAGCGAACCAAAAGAATGAAATGACTTCATCTAGGTTTGCAAATCAATTAAAATTATGACAATACCCACTCCTTATAAAACCCAAGTTGGAACCAAAATACCAAAGGCCAACTTTGTAATACCCCGTGATTTTAAATGATTTATTAAATGGGTTAATTAATTTATTTACTAATTGTTATGTGTGTTTTCATTTATTTATTAATTAATTATGTATTTTAATTATTTTATTAAATTATTTAGGGGTATTTGTATTATTGCATTTAATTTTATTGGATTTACGTTACTGGACCATGGGTTATTTGGGTCAGCCTTAAATGTCTATTTGGGCTTTGGTGGGCTTATGTGGTAAGGTCCTAGTTTATGTTATATTCTGGTATAGCCTTATTTTTACGATTCGAGATTTCAGAATATACAGATTATATTATTATACATATAACGCATAGAGACAGAGAGAGGGAAAGAGAGCGAGAACGAGCGAGAGATAGAGAGGCCAATGACGAACCCTAGGCTCCCAATTTGTGGAAGGGAATCCGGAGAACACTACGACCTTAGATTGGAACCCTACGATTTCTTAAGGCAAGTTCATCTCTTCTCTTCCGCTTTGAATCTATAATCCTTTCACCACTTTGTAATGTAAATTAGTAGGTTAATCACTGTTTTTATCACGAATAATTGAACTAGAGAATTGTGGATTAATTTATAAATGTTTTACTACTTTCAAGTTTCATAAATCTGAAGATCATGCGTTGTTATTGATTGATTTTGTCTTCGATTCCTCGTGCTGCTTTAGATTAGTTGTTATTGCATGATTAGATTTTTTTTAGACCATTGATGTTGCCTCTGCTTTACAAAACTTAAAGGAAATTGTATAACCTGGATTGAGAACCCGTAGCTTGCAAACCTGTTTTCTAGTTTGTGTGCCTCGATCGCGTTAGGGGGGGTTTGTGATCAATCTTAGCTAGGCTATTTTACGATCGATCGCATGAGCATTTTGATGATCGATCTTAGGAGGTGTGCGATTGATCTTTTCTGGATATAACTCGATTATTACTTGCAATGATTCTGGGGTACACTAAGATCGATATTAGGTGGCCTAAGATCGATCCTAGGTTACATAAACTTATTTTTGGATCCTCTTGAACTTAGAATCAATCCCGATCATCATCATCTTTCTTTAACTGTAGAATCACATGTATTATTATTATTTTGATTAATAATACTTAGGTTATCATGTTTCTGATTCGCATGTTGTAATTCGGTAATTTTTCAAAACAGTGAAGTTTTGGCACAATTTTTTGTTAGTGTTTTCTAGTCTATGGAGTGTTACCCTAAACCCCGCCAGGAGGCCCTTAAAGAAAGACTGACCCCCTGGCTTAACCTTAGAGTAGTTCGCGTAAGGTATTAAGCATCACCGAAATCAGTAACGGGAAGGGATAAACTAATCATATCGTGAATGTAGAATGTATTATGGAACCATTGTGAACTGAGTAACAACGTAGCTTTATTAGTACCCATTAGTATAATTGATTTGCCAAGGCATGGTTGAGTTGCCTAGGTTGGTGGTTTGGTTTATTGGCATAGTTGATTTGCCAATGCATGATTGAGTTGCTTATTATTTTATGCTTATATATGTTGATCACATGTTTATGAGTATCTTGTTATGGGATTGGTTTTGGTTAGAGATGATATGTTTATCGATTCTCTGTTGGGTTGTAGTAGAGAGGACTTGCTTATGGGTTTAACCCACATTTTGTTGATTTCAGCTCCCAGACAGTTTCAGCTATAGGGTTAAGGAATTAACACTTCTTAGCTTGTTGTGATCATTCATTCTTTCAGTTATTTCAATGTAGAAACTCATTATTATTCCTTGTAGTCTTTCTTGAGATTATGGATGGTATTTTTTGGTTTTGCATTTAGGGGTTTTTGTTTTACGTGATTCCTGAGTTGTAATAAATTGAATTTTAAGGATTAAAGATGTTGAGATTTATTTGATTCTAGTATTTCCATCCGCTTTTATTTCTTTATTTATTGCATCTTGTAGTTTATGCTTGTCTATTATCAAGTGATTGATATATTCTAATTTTCATATATAAGTCTGGACAACTTATATGTGGAAATTAGGAGGTGTCACAAAATTGCTTGAGTAAACTGGAGAAATTTGAACTCGTGACTTGGTTACAATTTTCCCAAACCAATGCAAGGGCTCAACTTCTCTTGCTAAAGGCCATGGTTAAACCAATTTGAAACTGAAGGCTTGGTGGTGTTGGGAAATGGAATTTTTTAAAATTTGGAAGCATGTATGTAAGGAACTTGTTCATGTGTAGAGACCTATTTGTTGGAATAGAGATGATGAAAAAATATATACTTATATAGAAACACTAGAGTTTTACACCTTGAGATTTGGGTAAATCTCAATATCACTCCACAATAATGGTAGATAATTGCTCTAAGCTTTGTTTATACAATCTCCTTGCTTTAAGCCTTCTTTAATGGAATCATTACCTTCAAGAATCTTCCCTATGACCTCTTTGACGAATGACCTCTTTGATGAACAACCCTCAACCATGTTGTGGGAACAAATAGATGAACAAGTGAAACCCTAGAACTTTGGTAGAGATCATTGATATATATATGAGAGTATATGTATATATTAGAGCAACCTATTCCTAAAGATTTCTCTACAAGCTTTCCTTTTATAGTGTTTGCTAGGAGTGACAATATCACTCTCTACAACCAACTAGGGGTCCTCATATCATTGTTTCAATGTACATGGAGTGCTCCTACCAATCTCTACAAACCACTTTATTAATACTCACTAATCCTTTGATTTAAATTCTATCCTCTTAAAGTTAATTCTCTCACAGTTAAGCCAAGTATTGTCCTTTAATAACCTACAATACCTCTACTACAAAGGCTGCTTTCTATATGGAGGTCCTAAAGGACCTCAAACTGTGACAAAACCGTATCTTTACGGTTTCAAAGTAATTATGGGGACTTTCATTTCTTGTAGGATTTTTATATAAAATGGTCATTCTGTGTGGGTTTTGATATAATTAACATGACCATTCAATGTGGACTTTCCTTGTGAAAAGCTTACATCACATAAGGGATTTCAATTGAAGTTAGCCTTCAATGCTGCATGGGAACAATATTGCCACTGAGCTTTGCTTTAACTTAATTGGGTTCTTACAAATGCCAAAAACTCTAGTAATGGTGGATGAAATCATCAATGAAATATAATATAAAATAGTTCATCAGTTACCGTCATAGACAATATTAAAAAGAAAACACATACACTTAACTTTTCAACCAGCTCAATGGTTTTAAGCCACAAATATAATTGAGTGTTCATCCACACTGAAGCAGAAAAAGAATACGGTAAAAAAAAGCCAATGTATTTAAACATACACTACAAAATGTATGTAAGCAACAGGGAATAAAGATGCTTGGAATGGAAATGAACACTAAGAAATGTTGACGTTTTTTTTTTTTTTTTTTTTTTTTTTTTTTTTTTTTTTTTTTTTTTCTTTTTCTTGGTGGGGAGAGGAGAAAACTAATACATACAATCATAAGACATTTTTTTGGGGGGGGGGGGGGGGAGGGGATAGTTAAAACACATACTAACTTGAATTTATTTGTTTATTTAGGCACACACTTATACCTTGGCACAATAGCGGTAGTTAAACAATTTAGCTTTGCATGGCAACACTAAGAATTCTTCCATGACTTAAAGCACACTGTTGATAGAGCAAAGCATGACCGGACAAATCACCTGTGGCAAATAGGAAAAAAAAAATGGAACATATAACCAATATCAACAAGATGGAAACTCATATGGCAGAAATAAAGGTAGTAATTCATCTATTTAGTTTCTTATCATATATAAAATTTGACATACACATATAGAAGATGTCCATCAAAATACTAAAATATTATACTTAGAAAAGTTACATTTTACTATTCAACACTTATTCAATGTGTCTTAAAATATCTAAGGAGTATCAAATACGTGACTAAAGTATTTGAGGCATATCATGTACGTGCTAGAAATAAATAAATAAAATTTATTTTAAAATTATAAACAAGTTTATGAAGTATTAGACTCACATCTATGAGTATTCGAGGAATGTTGCATCCAACATAGACAAGATATACGAATGCATACACTCTATAAGTGTACCGGTTCTTCAAAGATTTTCAAAATGAATAGTATACCAATGCTTATTGTTGGACTCATTATAGTAATTAACTGATAAACATGTATACCTATATTTACAATTTAACTTGTAGTAAGGAAATAGATGTAGGCTTCATGCAAAAAATACCATCTTACAGATATTTAATTTATTTGGTGTTTTATGTTGGATTTAATTTTGCAAATCTTTAGTATTCATAAATTCTATAAAAATGTCTTTAGTAAAATTTAGAAGTAGATTGATGCATGTCTAGACTTCATTTCCTTGAAGTAATTTGGAGACAAATAATAGTTCTACTATTATAAAAAATAGTGTTTTTGTCTGCACCCAAATTGGATATTTGGACCACCTAGACATGACTTTATGAAGAATGGGGTTCAAGATTGTCGATAGGTGGAAAAAATAGGGCTAGATCTTACTCCAAGCCACATCAGTAGCCTACGCGACCAATTAACAATTCTTACGGCCTTGGCTATCTTGGTTGGGTGTACCATACACCAAATAGGAGAGTAAGGCAACTATTACTGTTCAATTAAAAGATATAGTCTGGAGTGACAAGTCCAAAAAAGGGCTCTCGAGTACCTAACAGTCGAGTAAATGTCTTTTGTCTTTCACATCAAGCTTGGATGAAGCCAACATGTCACATTCATGTCAGATAGAGGATGGCACATCACATGCAATGGTAATTTCTTCACATCAACTTCATCACAACCATACATGTGTTGGAAGATTAATCTAGACTTGTTTAGATTTATCTTAGAAGACCAAGTGATACTTGGGAAGGTGCAAAGAATCTCATAATAATTGCTAGTACATGGAACATTTTGGTTTATATGAAATATTTTGGTTCATTGTATGGTTCATTGAATGTATTAAATTCATGTATTAGAAGTATCCATTGAGTAGTATAAATAGGTGAGTCATGTAAGTGTATTTCAACACACAAACAATTGAGTAATATAAGATAAAGAATTCAGCTTTATAGAAGTGAGTGTTTTTGAATTGCGTGTTTACTAATTCAGTTGAATATATATGAGTGTATCCCATTTGTGTTCATTTGCCCACCAACTCCAACAAAGTGGTATCAGAGCCTTATTACAAGATCGGCAAAGAAAAATGGCATCTAACAACATGTTGCAGCCCCAACTTCCCAAGTTTAGTGGGAAGAATTACAATCAGTGGAGTCTACAAATGAAAGTTTTTGTATGGATCCCAAGATTTATGGGAAATTGTTGAAAACAGTTTTAAAAAACCGACAAATCAAGCGGGGCTGAGTCAAGCACAACTCAATGAGTTGAAAGAGAATCGAAAGAAGGACAGGAAAACATTGTTCTTCATTTATCAAGCAATTGATGAAGGAATTTTTGAAAGAATCTTGACAGCCATTTCAGCAAAGCAAGCGTAGGATACGTTACAGGCCACTTATAAGGGTGAAGATAAAGTTAAAGTGGTGAGATTGCAAGCTCTTCGAGCTGAATTCGATACGATTAAGATGAAAGATTCTGAAAGTGTAGAAGAGTAATTTAATCGTATTCTTTCGATCACTAACCAATTAAAGGTGAATGGAGAAGATATTCAAGATCAAAGAATTGTTGAAAAAATCCTCCAAAGTATGCCTAGAAAATTCAAACACATCGTTGTAGCAATTGAAGAGTCGAAAGATTTGTCGACTTTGTCAGTAAATAGCTTGATGGGATCACTCCAATCTCATGAGCTTCGATTAAAGAATTTTGATTCAACGCCTCTAGAACAAGCATTTCATGCTCAAACTTCTTTTAGGGAAGGTTGGAGAGGAACAAAAAGTGATCGAAATAGCCGAGGGAGAGGAAGAAATAATGAAGGAAGAATTTTTGAGTATAAGGAAAATGCTAATTTTCCTCCTCATAGAGGAAGAGGAAGAGGAATGAAAAGAGGTCGAGGTCGAGGTCGAAGCAAAGGATAAGGTAGAGGTCGTGGTGACTCATATCATCTCCAATATTTCAATTGTGGAAAACTGGGGCATTTTCAAGCAGATTGCTGGTTCAAAAAGAATGATAATGAAGCAAGCAATAGTTCGACATTCATACACAAGGAGGAAGAAAAGGAAGAAGGAGTTTTCATGTTGGTTTGCAATACACAAGAAGAAGTTTCAGAAAATATATGGTATATTGACAGTGGTTGTAGCAATCACGTTACTGGAGATAAAAATGCCTTTGTAAATTTGGATGAATCTATTCAAAGTGAAGTCAAAACTGGTGATAATAAAAGGCATTTTGTCAGAGGAAAATGCGACATTCTTGTCAAAAGCAAGAAGGGAGTGCAGAAGATTACTGATGTATATTATGCTCCAGGTCTTAAATATAATCTTTTGAGTGTTGGACAGATTCTGCAAAAGGGAAATGATGTACATTTCAATAATGATGTTTGTGTGGTCAAAGACAAAAATGGTAGGCTGATTATAAAGGTACAAATGACACAAAACAGAATGTTTCCATTGAAGCTTATGTACGAGAAGATGGTCAGTTTTAGTGCCTTGATGAATGAAGAATTGATGAGCGCTGAAAAGTGCGCATTTAAACCCTTTATGCTTAGGGATTCTAGGATCTTTATCGATCTTACTTTCCCGTTTTAGACTAATTTAGTGTTATTGTCCTTTTTAGGTGCTTATCTCCAAAATAAATTAATTCAGCCAAATAAGAGCTTAAAAGAAGCTAACTCAAGCTAGATGGAAGAAAGGAGCAAAGTGGAAACAAATTGAAGCAAAATGTGGAAATTCAGCATGTTCGATCGATCTCAAGAATACTTCGATCGATCGAAAGTTCATTGATCTAGACTCTCCAAGATGGATCCAAGCTTTTTTGTCCTTATCCAAAGATCCTACAAAGTTCGATCAATCCAACCATTCTCAGATCGATCGAAAATATTCCATCTTATCCTGTTGTACCACCCCACCTACCACTTTTGTTTCTTTCCTAAAATATCTCAGAGTTGTCTTTATCCAAAAAGGTGCTGCCATGGGAGGATCGATCCAGCCAAAGTTTGAAAGATCTCAGCCAAGTTCGATTGATCGAACCCTCTCAAGTGCGAATTAAATCAATTTTCATTAAAAGTTGTCTTATGGTGCAATCATTGAAGGAGCCCTTGTGTACGAGCCTAAACCATTGGGTGTGACATTTGAGCTACCTATATAAGGATTATGAGCCACTTTTATAAAGGAGTTTTTAGATACAACATTAGATATCATTCTTAGAGAGAAAGAAAAGAGAAGAGGAGGCTAGAGACACATTCTTGGGAAGTTTTCCATCTACCTCAAGAAGAAGAGCACTTCTACCATGGAGATAGCCCTTGAGGATTGGAGGACACCATCCATGAGTGGCTAGACATCATCTTGGGGCTAGAGTTAGCTCTAAGCATGCCTTTTTTTTTATCTTGATTTATGTATTTTTGAGGGGATTTGTGTTGTAATACATGTTTTGACATTTTTATATACATAGATCTTGTTTATTCAATGATTTGTGTGGTTTAATTCTTCCAATTGATCATTGCATTCTATTCATATGTCTATGTATGCTAGAATAGATGTTTATGTGTTTATCTCTAACTCTTGTGTTGTTGATGCATGTCTATGTGTGTTGATGCTATAGATCTAGAGATTGTCAAGACATAGTGCTTAATAGAATACTCTTGTGGTTTATTTGATGGTTCATACTCATTCCTTGATGGATTGTGCCTCTCCCTTAGTTTAATTAGTTTAATTTTCATTCCATTAGCTTAGATGTAGTATAGTTACCTTAATTGTTAAATGGGAGGACATTCCATGCTTGTTGTTTGATGTTCCATACTTATAAATGCAAGTAGTATATTTCTCTAATCATGTGATGTATTTGGATTGTGAGATTAAAGGAAGGATTAATGGCTTAGTTTGATATATTGTGCTATTCATTGTGTTGTTTAGACAATATATACTTAATTGGTCATCCATGCTTGTTGAAGCAACCACATACACTCACTATTGTTGCAACATATGTTTTCCCCCTCATTAATTATGAATTGAGTGTATAGAAAGGTGATGCTTAGTGGTGACCTCTAAGTCCCAAGACATCTCTTTCTTGTTTTCTCTATACTTTAATTACTTGTTTTATATTGAGCTTGTTTAATCTTAATTGTAGTTTAATCAACCAAACAACCTACCTTTGATCACTAGACCTACTAAACCTAAGCATTGTTTCCATTACTAGTGCCCCTCTAATCCCTTGGGACGATCCCTATTCACCCTTGCCACATTAGTAGTAGTGGTAGTAGTGGTTTTTATAAATTTAAATTTGACCCAAAAGACTTTTCTTGAACCGTACATTCACTACATTATTTTGGCGTATAGGAACGGCCACCGTCAAATTTTGGTGCCGTTGCCGGGAATTGAATTGGCAACGCCGTGTTTTAGAAACAATTAAGGATTAATATTCTTTTGATCGTGTCTTTACTTTATTTTATTTTTAGTTACTTATTGTGTTTGTTCTTATTGGCTAGGTGAAATTGAGCAAGGAGGTTAAGCAAATGAGAATTGAGAAGCAAGGAGCTAAGCTAAGCATAAAAAAGG